CTCTGATGAGTTTGTTATTTCAATGGTCTTACGCTGAGACCCAACCAAATAAAGCAGCAGGTCCCTGAGGTGGTGGCTTTGAAGGTCACGTGGGGTCTAAGTGCCGCTCCCTCTCCCTCTGCATGCTGGCTGCCATGGGGTGAGCAGCTCAACCCTCTTCTCCACCATCCTGGCACCCATGAGCTCATCCTCTGGACTCAGTGACCTGAGGACTTCCTGGCTGGGCCCTCGCTCCATGGCTCTGTGCACTCCTGCAGGAAGCCACCCAGTCACAACGGCATCAGCCTCCTCTGACTGTCAAGGTTACTGAGAGGATGTGTGGGATGGGTCCACTCCTGACACTAGAAAAGGCCCTCAGGAATTAGGTGTCTCCATCAGAAACACCCTGGCCGTGCTTAAAACCACAGACTTCCCACCCTGGTCACACACCACTGAGTTGGCTCTGCCAGAGTGAGGGACCATGTGAATGTATTTTTAAATTTCTACCCACGTGATTTTTAAGTAGTGGTGACTTCATCTGGCATTTAGGCAACACTCTAAGTTATAAGCAACCCTCCGATGTTAGGAGACTCTCCAGAGGGGTCCAGAGTGGTGCAAAGGTGACAAAGGTCCTCTCTGTCTCCAGGGACCATAGTGCAGCTGAGCAGAAACAACATACAACCTGACTGTAGGGTCCAAGTTGGCCTCCAGGTTCAGGGTGACAAAGAACTCCGGGACCTGTGCTCAGAGTGAACGAGGAAAGACAGTGGTTTATGGACCGTCAAATAAAGTCATGCAGGTTGTTGACTACATGCGGTGCCAAGAGACCATTTTTTAACGCACACAAAAGTGCCATAGACCAGTGGCAGGCATGGAGGTCACTGTCCACCAGGCTACCCGAGAGCTCCTTCTCAGCCATCAGAGCCAGCTGAGCTCCTCCCTCTCCGAGGAGCTTTACTCAAGGCCCCGTGATGGACAATCTTTCTCTGCTCTGCTCTGGACCCTTGGCAAATCTTGTTTGGCTCTATGCTTCTCGTGTTAGCCTCTGAGCCAGTTAGGAGGAAGGACTCGGGTTATAATATGGCATTGATGATGGTAACGATTTTTATTATGTTCTTTTCAGCACCAAACACAAGTTCTGGCAGAACTAGCAGATGTTGGATGGATAGAAGGAGGGAGGGAGAGGAAGAGGGGGACAGAGGGAGGGATTGATGAGTGGATGGGAGGATGGATGGACTGAAGAATTGATGGATGGATGGATGGATGGATGGATGGATGGATGGATGGATGGATGGACAGACTGAAGGATGGATAGAAGGATGAATGGACAGATTATTCCATGTGTGCATGAATATCTTGGTTGATAAACACATAAATTCCAGTGACCTAACAGAATTTTATCAAGCATTAATGGGAAAGACAACATCAAGGGAAAGGAAATGGGCCTTGAAGGGTGGATTTGGTTCTTCCAAATGGCAATATGGTGCAGAAGAAATGGGAGAAGCACTGTCCAGCTGATTTCATGCACAGAAAATTGGATCAAAAAGCCACTGGTGAGGGGCTGGGGGTTTAGCTCAGCGGCATAAGCGTCTGCCTTGAAAGCAGGCAGTCGTGAGTTCGATCCCCGGTACCGGTAAAAAGGAAAAAGACAAAAAAAAAAAAAAAAAAAAAAGCCACTGGTGAAGTGCTGGGGCTTTGGCAATTCCCTGGAAGAAGGTTCTTCTTTGGGTACCAGCTCAGAAGGGTATCACGTTTGTCCAGTCAGCAGGAGAACCAGAAGGCCTGGGGGGCTGTGTCTGGAGAGCCCATCCTCAATACTCTGGCAAGTGTGTCCTTGGGCATTTCCCCATAGCTGGCTGATTTGCTGAGCACCTGGGGCCACACGGGCACCAGGCAGCGGGCAAGCTCTGAGAGTCCACGGGACCCTGATACACTGATTCGCATGTGTATTCACACCGGGGTGTCCCTCCCCAGCCAGGGTCAGCAGTGGCCCGATTTTAAGATCTGACACCACGTGGTTTCGTGACTCTGCCCAAGTTAGATTCTCCTCTGGGCCTCAGTGTCCCTCTATCAAAGGGAGGGAGGAATCCCCACCTCTCAGGACTCCCAGCTGAACTAAGCGCTAGTCACTTGGACACTGCAAGGCTTTAATCCACGCACTAAGCCTGTGGTTTCTCTACCCTCAAATGTCCCATAAACACCCACTCCCCCGAGTTCCAAGTCCATCTGCAGCACATCGTGGAGGACATGGGGAGAGCAGATGCAGAGGGCCAACCGCAGGGCCAAGTGTGCCAGGGAAGAGGGCGGAACCAGAGGGCAGGAGTGTGGCTGCCTGGGGTTCAAGTCCCACCTCCATGCTCCAGAAACGGCAGAACCATCCTGTTTGCTCCTCCATGCCTGGGACTCCTTGCCCATGGGATGGGAATCACCTTCAGCCACTCGGGGAACAGTGGTCAGGAGTAACCAGGTGTCCGCAGATGCCCGAGAACTGAAATGTCCGTGTGGACACTCCCTGTCTCATCCCCCAGAAGTGCTCACAGAGTCCCTGGGCTGCAGGAGACTCGGGGAGGAAGGAATGGGACCGCTGTCTGCAGAGACAGGGGTCTAGAGGACACTGGATGACATCAGGACCTGGGATACTTGGGAGGGGGCAGCTCAGTCATGACCAAGGCCTCAGAGGGCCCCAGGCATCAGATGTCTCAGGAGAGGTAATGGGAGGTAATGGGAGGAAAGTCAGGCGTGAGGGGGAGTGGGAAGGAGGAAGAAAGGGAGGGTGGTGGGGGTCTCAGCATCTGGACCTGTCCCCAAAGCCCCCTCCCCAGCCCGTGCCCAGGCACCAGCCTCGTCCTCAGCCTGCCCCTCCCTCGTCTGGAGATCCCACCTGTGAGCCTCACCCTCCCAGCTCACCTCTCAAAGGGAGCTGTTCCCACCCAGGGCTGCTTCCCTGCTCCGCCACACAACGTGCCCTGCTCCCCCCCCCCGCCCAGAGATTCGGGGTCCCTGCCACCATGGAGAGAAGAATGTGGCTTGAGAGGGTAGGTCCATCCATGTCACTTTACAACGGCCGCATTCATTCCCGAGGGCCCTGGGACACTCTTAAATTTATGGAGTACAGTGCAGGCCTTAGAGAAAGGCACAGTTAGGAAGTTCCTGGGGGCCCCAGCTTCTCCCTGAGGACAGAGAAAGCCAGCACAACGGGACTGGGATGAGCAGGGCCATTGAGCTCCATCCAGCGGGAAGTGTGTGCCCTGCTGGGGACTCTGGACAAGTAACTTCACTTCCTTGGGCCTTGCGACCCTCTCTGAAGCAGTGGCTTTGGGGTCTCATGCAAAAGGCTCCACTGACCACCACGACACCTGTGCGGGTCAGGATATGACTCCCACAGTTACCAGGGCAGGCGCCCTTCAGGAACAGGGCCCCATGTCTCACCCCATCTCTAGGAGCTCCCCCCTCCTCTCAGTGTCAAACACCAGCTGCCAGGGCCCTGGAGGGCAGAAGCCCAAGTGAAGAAATCCTATAAGCCTGTGGGAGGCCAGCTTGGGCCTGGTTAAAGCCCTCTCCAAAACAGCTGGCCACAGCTGCCCAGAGCTCAGCTCTGCAGATAATTGGCCCACTGCCCTGGATATGAAGGGGCAAAGACAGGGGGCTGGAGTTGTCATGAGAGAAAGGCATTCCTGGAGGAGTGGGAAGAGGCCCACCTGTCCTCTCCTGCCTCGGTTTCCCCAGCAGTGAAGGAAAGTTACTGTTCCTTTTCTGTGTCACATTGCAAGGAACAGTGAGGAGGTGACAAGCTGAGAGACACTTGAGACAAGCTAGAGACGAGAGGGCCCCACTCGAGGCTTGAGGCATATCCATCTCTCCCGGGGTCTGCTCATGCTGCCTTCAGGCCCCCAGACTCCAGACACATGTCCACCCCTCTTTTCTGCTCCTCCCCTCAGAACGTCTCCCCCCTGGCTCCCCCACACAGCTTCCCTGTTGGCTGCTGTGGGTTTCACTGTGACCTCCCATCCCAGAGTGTCCTAAACAGCATGGGGGCAGTCAGTAAGCCTGGTATAGCAGGCAGACTCGTGGCCACCGGCCAAGGCCCAGGCTAAGGCAGCACAGACGCTCTCGGCCTCCTTCCTGCCCACAGCAGAACCCATCCGCTCCTGAGAGCCCAAGACTTGGGGTGCACCTAGTCGCCAGGCAGGGTGGGGAGCGAGACTTCCTTGGCTGCAGTGCCCATGCTGTCCTCGGTACCACTGGCCTCAGCGGGCTAGCCTTGTGCTTTTCTGTCTGGTTCTCCCCAGATCACTGACATCACTGATGTGCCTTCCTCCTGCCCTCCCCACTCACAAGGCCGCTGCCCTCTGGGGCTTGCTCTCTGGCACCCCCGCCTTGAGGGCTCAGGTGCCCTCAAGGCTTCCCAGACAGGAGCCGCAGAGGGGCTGCAGGACCCCTGGGTGGGCTGCTCCTTGCTCTAAGACCAGCCAGGTCCCAACCTCCCACCCTACCCATGCACAGGGACAGTTCAGATTTCTCGCTAGCTGCTTCCTCCCAGCTGACCAGCAGAGGGGCCAGTCCATCCTCAGGGTGGACACAAGCCCAGCCCAAATCAGGACAGTGACAATGCCATATGGGAATGTAAGATGAGCGTGAGTCTTCGCAGGGCTCCTAAGGAAGGCACTTTCTGTGCCTCCAGAGCTCACGAGATGCAACAATAGCCTGTCTCCTGGGTCTGCTTGCCACGTCCCAGGGTGGAGCCCGGGTCTCCCCTCCACCCCACCTGCCCAAGCTCCTGGCCACTGCTCACCATCCTTTGTCACAGCAGACAGCAGCGACAAGCCACCCACCCTTCCCCATATGATGCACTGCTCCTCCACTGACGCAGGCTGTGCAAACCCCTGTTGTATCCCAGTCATTGCAAAGTGACCCAAATGGAACTGCAAGCACCCTACAGGCAGAAAATGAGACGTAAGATCATATCGGTCCCTCTGACAGCTAAAGTAAAATTTTATGTGAGCAATATACTCGCGCTCTGATTACCGTGCAGTATAATTTTATTCTGGTTGTGCCGAGCCGGCTGAATCCCCTGCTCTTTCAAGTGTTCAAATGCTCTGCTTGCCAAGATAAATGATTATAATTGACAGGGCATTGTCAATCTATAGCAAAGCTGATTTCATTAAGCACGCCAAGGGCCAGCTCTGGGGCAAGGAGCGAAGTGGAGAGGGGGTTTGATCTCAGCCTCTCCCGGTAGTACAGTCCACACTGGCACCAAAGGCTGGAGGGCAAGAGAACAAAGCCAACGTGATGTCTGTGAATTCAAATCTTTCCCTTTGAAATGAAGCGTCCGGAATGGCCAATAAAACTGTGGAAATGATTTCTGCCTGCATTTGATGTTAAGCCTTTAGTGTCAAGCGCCAGGTCTATGGTTGCCTCTTCTCCCTTCCTCTTTCTTCGTCTTTCTCCTCTTGTCTTTCCCCTTCCTTGGATGGCCTTGGGAGGAACGTGACCCCTCATAAGTAATTTCTCAGAGTGAGCGGACAGGAGGCTCATCTCCCTTCTGCTCTGATGTGACAACAGCCGACTGAGACTTGGGGACTGAGACCTGCCCTTGCGACTGTACCAGACTCAGTGTCTTATAGATCACGAGCCAGACCCCTTTCTCTTTGGGCTTCAATCCTCTGCTCATGCAGGCATCTCTAGGTGCCCGTTCTCCTTCCTTGCTACGGGTCACCCTAAGTCTGCATTCCCTCCCTTACCCCTAAGGAGGGGAGCTGGGGAGAAAGCACAGGGCGGGGGACCATCTCCCAGCTCAGCGGAGGAGCCACGATTTAATCTTGGTCTCTTAGCCAGACTGCATTAAGACAGAAGGGAATGGCCCGTGGGAGGGGACATTCTTGCTGTCATCCTGAGATTTCCTCCGGCTGAGGAGAAGCCTGGAAAAGAGATGTGAGGATCATCCTCACTAGAGTCCTAGGGAAACTGTCATAGTCATGGACTTTTTCTGTGCTGCTAACCTCTGGCTGAAAGATGAGATCAGTAATCTCTCCCCTGACACGAGAGCTGAAAGAGACCAGATGCAAAGGGAGCTTTTGCAATCATTGTAAGCCAGTCTCGTGCTTTACTCTTGCTGGATCTTCCCAGGAGGTTGGCAGAGAAATACTTACTCCTTCCGTTATTAACACAGGGAAACTGAGGCAGCCGAGCACCTTGCCTTTGCGTTAGTCAGGGCCAGAGTCTGCTTCCAGGAGGAGAGCTGGCCAGGCTGTGGGAGACTCAAGCTGATGTGCGCCCAGCTCTTCGAGCACTTTCTGCAACAGGGGAGAGAACGCAGAGCTGGAGGGCTGAACCCCAGTGGGGCGGAGGGAAGAAGAGCTGCAAAGACTGCCTCGCCCTGGGACACCTGGTGACCTGGAACACCTGGCCTTGCATTTGCAGAGCTCCAAGCCTGTGCAAAGGGGAAGAAAGATGTGAGTTCGGGAGAAAATCCTCACCCTACAGAACCCAGCCCACACGCACACACCGCGGCCCTCAGGTGGAGCACAGGGGTCCTCAGATCACCCACTGGGGTGCCCACACTGCAGCACCCCTCCTGCTCTGGCCACACCCCCTTTGCTGTGTGCCTGTCCTCACCCCCTCAGCGGCTCTCACACCCTCCTGCTGGCTGCACCTTCCCCCTCCACCAAGAGGAGGATGCAGGGCCAGCTCCTCCATCCAGCTTCCCCCACAGGCCTCGGGCTCCGCCCTCCTGCTCACAGCTGCAAACAACGTCCCCTGGCCACACAAGGTAAGGTTCTCTTCAAAGCAATAGTAACAGTTCGGGGAAAGCCTGAGACACGTCTTCTGGTGACACCTCCTCCACGTTCTGTGTTCCTAAACCGTGTCCGGAAGACGGGACTGTTCACAGGGCAGCGGCAGGATGTCCCCTCGGGACAGCACCTCATCCCCCAGTATCAGTCCTTGCTGGCCTTGAGCCATTTTGAGGGGTGCGGGCATCAGACACTCGGTGACACCACTCCGCTCCTAGAGACCCGGATGCTGAGGGGGGCGGGACTCGCTGACATCAGCCAGATGCAACCGCCCAGTATCTGTTTCCAGCATGCATGTCCACTCTGCGCTGGACCACTGGACACCAGTTCAGTAAAATGACTGAGTTGGGTTGGTGCAGCTGATAACCGCGTCTTCTGGGCTCTGGACCAAAGAGGCTGGAGGAGGAGGTGACCGAGTGGGAGGCAGAAGTACGTTATCATCCCTCTGGGCTAAAACTGATCCTGAGATTTTTCTGAAATTGTTATTGGTACATTTCGGTGCGCACAATGACCACGCTCGTCTTGGGGACTTTACCTGTGTGTGATCCATGGCGGGACCGCTTCGCTCTGCCTGCCCCTGCCCTCCCTTCACCCTTCTTCTCCTCCTGTTTACAAACCCTTTGTTTCCGCTTTTCCTTCTTATTTTTTCTTTTCCTTTCTTCCAACCCATCCCCCACACACACACCAGTTCCCCTTCTATTTGAGCATTTTCTTCCTTATTTTATAATATCTATTATTTTGGTCCTTGTTTATGCTCTTAGTTTCTCAGCCCCGGAGAAACAATGTGATATTCACACATGTGTGTCCCATTCATTTCACTTGAGATTAAGGTCTCAAGATGCATCCATGTACCTAGAAATGGCTCAAGTTTACCCTTCTTAGTGGCTGAGTAGTATTCCATTGAATAAAAAAACACATCTTTATCCATTCATTGGTTGATGGAAATTTGGGCTGTTTCCAAGATTTATCTATCACAAATTGTGCTGCTATAAATGTGGGTGTGCATATATCACTGTGGTATGATGTTTTCACAGGAACTATCACAAAGAATCAACCACTGGGATTGCATCTTATTAAAAAAAAAAACTTTTTGCACAGCAAGAAAAACCACCAAAAGAGTAAAAAGACAAAACACAGTGTGGGTAAAACTTTCTGCCAGCTATTCCTCAATGGACTATCTAGAACACATAAAGAACTCCAAAAAAATCAGACCCTCCCAAATTTAGAGACCCAGTCCAAAAATGGGCATCTGAAATGAACAGATACTTCTCAGATGAAGATGTACAAATGCCAAATAAATATATGAAAACATATTCAGGTCACTGGCCATTCGAGAGATGCAAATTAAAACAACACTGAAGTTCTGTCTCGTTCCAGAAAGAACGGCTGACATCAAGAAATCAACCAATAACAAATCTGGCGGGGCTGTGGATAAAAGGGAGCCCTTCTCCACTGTGGGCGGGAGTGCAGACCGGTGCAAGTGCTGTAGAATTCAGTGTGGAGATTCCTCAAAAACTAGGACAAGGGGCCAGCGAGGTGGCTCCTGAGTTGGAATCCTGGTCCCCACCTTCTTCCCTCCCCCCAAAATGAGGAATATCAGAGGTTTCATTTGACCCAGCCAGTGCCCTTCTTGGTTCTGAGATTTCTGCAAAATTGTTCAGAAGCAGAAGGGGGTCTGACCTCGAAGCGTCCGCCTGCTCTTTTCTTTTTATCCTATAGGTTCTCTGGGTCTAAAAGCCAAGGGCTGCAGCTGGTAAGTACCAGGAGCTGCACCTTGGTACCTTCAGTTACATCCCGTGGGCACCACAGGTGTATCAGATATTGTTCTCGGCTCTGGAAAATGACAGTGAATTAAAGAGACACAGAGTCTCTCCCTCATGGAGAAGACAAAGGATAAAAATAATTTAGAGGGTTCTGAATGTGAAATGTTACAGAGAAAAGCTTAGCAAGGGACAGCGCAGAGAGCTGATTGGGGAGGCTGGTCATTAAAAGTTCATTTGAGCAAAGATTTAAGGAAAAGACACAAATCAGGTGGGAAAACAGTGTTCCAGACACTGAGAAGGGCAGGTGCAGAGGCCCCAGGGTGCGGGAAGGGAAGGAAATGACATGGAGAGGGGAGGAGCACACAATAAAAAGATGCGCAGTAGATCCAAGAATCGCTCAAGGTGAGTGCGGTCCAGCGACCACCCAAGAAGGACCTGGGCAGCCAGAGGGAGAAGGATGCTGTGTGTGTCCCACCTGCAGCTGGCCAATTGGAGTGAGAACAGAGACCGTGAGTGCTGGGGGTGGGGAAAGAAAGAGTGAGATGGATGGACAGACAGACAGAGCTCAAGACAGTGACTGACGTGGGCCGACGCACCACGGCTGGACCTGTGTAGGACATGTGGCAGACTCCTGAAGGGTACACCGAGAGTGAACCTGCTGTCGCTTTGGCGCTGGGCGGGTGGCACCACATCAATGATAAATGTGAGGCTCTGGTGGCGGATGCGGATGACAGACAGGTGGTGGGGTGGGGTGGGGGTGAGGGGTACAAGGAAACCTTCTGTACTTTCTGCTCAGTTTTGTTTGTGAACCCAAAACTGCTCTCAAATAAAAGTCTACTTTAAAAGACTTTTTAGTGGAGAGTTAGGGGGATTTGCCCTGCGAGAACGAGCCAGTTCCTTCTCATGCCCTTTGGGAAGAGCTCCATCGAAAGAAAGAGGAAAGATGGGACCACGTGGGGCTGGATGGGGCAACGTTTCCCTCTCAGAGGCTTTAGAAGCAGGGGACTGCGGTGGGCCCTCCCAGTCGGGGACCCAAGGGGCTCCCTGGGTATCCCAGCCAGACTTGCAGACACGCTGAGGATTCCCTTTGCCCATGTTGGGGAAGCCAGTCCAGGGCAAGCACTGTAGCCCCCACATACTGTTGCCTCCCATGTGCCCAGCCAGTGAAATGAGTCCTGACAGACAGATGCAGAGCTGGTACCGGGCCAGACAGCCTGGGATGCCAGAGACTACTGGGTGTGTAGAAGCCCTGTGCTCTGATGTGAGAGAGACATTGGTAAGCGATAGGCGTTCTTTTAGTGGACTTCAGAGTGGCAGATGCCACTGGGGCCTGCAAGTTAAAGTCAACCCGAGCAGAATCTACTTTTGGAACTTTAAAATAGCTGAAGGAGGTGACAGGCCCAAACAGAGGAAGAAAAGTAAGCAAGATAGCTAGATAGAAGAAAAAAGGAAATGACCACACTAAAGAAAAATAGAAATGAAGGCGAATACAGGAGTGATCGCAGTATTCTGCTTGGCTGTGGTGCGTAGCGTGTAGAGTCCCCGTGAAGGCAACACGATTCATTTCATAAGTTTCAACTTCTAGAATCACTTTATGGACAAAGGATGATAGACAAGTTTGCACAATAAAAAAATAAACGTCATATCTAAACAGCATAAACACAGAAGCACAGGTGTCAGAAATGAGGAGCAGAAGGGGAAAGAGGTGAGGGCAAGCCCGGGGTGCCGGTACGCTTTCCTACCTGGAGGGTCAAATGGAATTTCAATAGGCAAATAGATAAAAACCACATGCATATGTGATTTAAATATGCAAACACAGCTCACAAAGAAAGTAAGCAGGGTGTCTGTCCGCGTGCACGCATACGTGCGTGTACACAATGTGAGTCAAAGGAAAGAGGGGACGGTCCAAAGGACCAAATTCTCAATCGGTTACAGCTCAGTACATGATATCTAAACTTGGCCAATCAAAAATAATAACATGAACGTGTGCGTGTTAACATGTTAACATGTGACCAGGATAAAGCAAAGCAAACAAGCCAACATGGCTAACAGAATTTAAATAGCAACACAATGACCAAATAGGAAGGGTGGCATGGCAAGAGTCTATTGCTTTTTATTATAGATGTATCTGACTTTACGCTGTTTTAGTCACAGAGCTGTAGCTGATAAATGGCTTCAGGAACTGTTTTAGCTAAGTTTGACTTCGCATTGTCATCACAAGTGACAAAGACCGGGCCATCCCAGTTATGACTCTTGCAATGGGAGTTCATCCTGGTTGCTCTATTCCATTGATCTAGAAGCTATTTTAAACTATTCTATTTCTCTCTGCTCGCAGGTCAGACCCAGAAAGCATTGTAGAGGGAAAAACAGGCAACACATAGTCTGAAAATACATTTTGAGGCATGAATACCCTTTCCGCCCCACCTCAATGACTCATTCACCCACGGACCCATTGTGTCTGGAGTGGCTACTAACAATGAGGGCATTCTCAGTGTCACAAAGGCTAACCAGACTCCACTTCTGGTCTGAAGGCAGAATGTGGGACTTGGTGACCCCGAGCCCTGCAGAGCCTGGTTCCACCTGCATCGGTGCCCTGATACCTGATGGAAAACTGGGACATCAGGAACTTGGACATTTTACAATCATCACTCTTGTTTTCTTTAGCAGAACTACCAGATCAAGTGACCTCTCTCATCTAGGACTATTTTTTTTAAAAAAGAATAAGAAGTAAGATATCTCAAAACAATGGGATCTGAAGTAGCTGGCACTGTTTGCATTGTTGGTGTGGGCTAACTGGTCAACCCACCAGCAGGGGGAGTGGAATGTGCTGTTTGGTTAGAGGCAGAAGAGGCCAAGGGTGACATTCAAAGCCCCCA